CATAGCCTGAACTGGCCATCCCATGATCAGATTGGTGACTGTCATCATCAGAGAGCTTTCATCCAGTGACTGATAGAGGCAGATTCAGAGAGGATCATGGCCAAACTCTGGGAGTCCTGCTGAGGAGAAGGAGGGGGGATTGAAACAGTAGGGGGGGGGTGCTGTTAGGTACATTGCAGGAAACTCCACAGAAATGGCTAGCCTGGCTCATAGGAACTCACAGAGTCTGAACCAACAACCAGGCAGCCTGAATGGGACTCACCCAGGCCCTCTGCATATATATGACAGTTGTGTTGCTTGGTCTATTTATGGGACTCCTGGCAATGGGAGCAGGTGCTGTCTCTGGAGCTTTGGCTGGCTCTTGGGAACCTATTCCTCATGCTGGATTGCCTTGCCTAGCCCGAATACGGTGTGTGTGTGTGTGTGTGTGTGTGTGTGTGTGTGTGTGTGGTCTTAAGGCAGCTTGATATACCATGCTTTGCTGATGCCCATGGGAGGCCTGCCCCTTTCTGAGTGAATAAGGAGGAGGGCTGAATTAAGGGAGGGGTATAGGGGAAGGGGGGAGGAAGTGTGAGGAAGCAAGGGAGGGGAAGAGAGGAGAGGCTGCAGCCAGGATTAAAAAAAAAGAAACTAGGAGGAAAGTATTAAATAATCTTATCTTGTTCATAAGCTTATATTTTATATTTTAGGGCATGCAGAGTGGGAGTTCTCAGGAAACCGAATGCATTTATGGGAAAGGAAGTTATTCCCTATATTAAATATACTTTAGAAATAGATACTGAAAGCATCCTCATCTGTACAATAGAAATGTACTTATGCTACTGAAAGGATTAGATAAAACTTGTCTCTGACATAGTTAAAAAGAGCTGGGTCATGGAGAGAGACACAAAGGCCTTCCTAGGCTTGTGAAGTGCTGCGGGAGGCAGGTGAGCAGCAGTTTAAAAGCTCCTCTGTCCATCTTTCTGACGGGCTGCAGCGTGTGGCTACTGCCCCTTTGTGTTCAGGTTTGAGCTGGACCCACAGTGTGAGCTGGCTTCTAACACATCTTCAGTCCTTCAGAATGGTTGGGTCATATCTCTGCTGCACACACTGTCATCTGGGGGGGCGTACACTTTGGGGCAGAAGAATGTATTATTGGAGAAAGGGCATTTTATGGGGAAGGGAGTACAAGTGGTTTTTAAAAGTCACCTGGGAAACATGTGAAACTGTAATGGGTACTCAGTATTTCTGGGTACGCTGACTTGACATCTTCAATAGCCGCACTAGAAGGCATCCTTCACCAGTACATGCATTTGTTTTCTGCCTAGCCTAACAAACTGATACAGACCATGACAAGAGGGTCCTCCAGCAGTGATGACAGTGGCGTGGAGAGCTGTCTACTGCACAGTCCTTGTTGCTGGATACTCCAGTCAATCCCCTCCCCATAGGATTTTGTCAGACAACCAGATGAATATTTTTTTTCTTAGTGGAATGACATGACAATTCAGATGGAACACAGGAGTGACAACAGTGTGTTGTTATATGCTGGGAGAAGCTGGAGCCCAAGACCCACAAGGATAGATTTGGAAGAGGAATTGAACCCTTTAGACCTTCTCTCGTAGGTGACTTCTCCATCACTGCCTCATCTTCCACATTTCAGGATCATACTTATGAACAGAATGGAGTCACAGAATTTGAGACACAAAGCATCCTAGTAGTATTCTGGTTCACATTATCAATAGTGAGAGGATGTAAAATGGATGCACTAATCCAGAGTCTAGAAATTTGCTTCAAAAATGAAGTAGACAGGTAAGCAGAGGGGGTGGGATTTATAATCTGCACTCCAAAGTGTTAGAAGCTACAAGAAGAAAGGCAGATAATGAGGATATTTAATGCTTGTGGCCTTATCCCAAACACAGTAATAAAAATAACTCCCACCATTGAGAGATCAAGACCAGGCTCTATAGAGCTCCACAGATATGTGTCTTCTGCTATCCATTCTATGGATGGGTAGGGGTTTAGAACTAAAGGATGAACATCATTCAAGTGCACTAGGAGGAAGCAGAGGTAAATCATGAATCCCAGTTAGAGTCTAGTTTACCATGTCAGTTCTGAAGACTGGACAAAGTTTAAATAAAACAAAGAAAAGAAGGTTCCTATCAACTCTAACCAATAGCTTCTTTTTCAGTCCCCATGCACTGTTTATAAACATAATGGCTCAATTATTACAGACACTTTGCTGAAGAGCCTCTTTGAAAACAGCTATAAAGAGGGGAGAAAATACAGGGAAAGGCACCTAAGAGTTCCAAGTTGAATACCACTTATGCATCTGACCCACCTTCACTTCCTTTTTTTCTAGTGACTAGCATAGATACTGTGTGCATAAGGAAACAGGAGAACTTACTGAGGAGGACAGTGCCTGTAATTTAAAAAGATACACATACCCTGGCTATAGAGACAGGGGGCAGAGTGTGGCCAGCCAAACAACCAACAGAATCAATTCTCACTGGGCATTCTGAAGGGCACATTGCAGACACAAGGATTCTTCCAATATTCAAAACTGTTTGAAAGGAGATTTGATAATGCTACATAAAGAGAAATTAAGGAAGCATGATCATGACAGGTCTATCTTTAGAGTGGATGGATCTCTCCTCTTTTAAATTGTGATTGTTTTGCATTAAAAGAAAAGAGAGGAGAGATGTGTCTGTCAGTCTTCATACAGTTGTACAAAGGAATAGCAAAGGTGAGATTAATTTAAAGCCCTAAAGACTACCCTACGCAGAGGGGCTATGGCAAGGAGGAAGAAAATGAACATAATGCAACCTAAATTTATTCTTTCTCTCCTCTCTTCCTCAATAAGAGGAGCACTATATTATTTTTCCCTGTTCTCTTAGATTGCCAACTGATCAGTAAAGTGCTAATTAAACTTAATTATGTCGACTCTGATTTTAGTCACAACAGAGGTAGAAAACACAAGAATTAACTACATCAATTACAAGAATATATCCTCTTTTCAAAAATGTTCTCTTTTCCTTTCCATGTTTGTACCAAATATTTGCTATAGTCTTGCATGTGACCCAAAATATATAAAAAGACAGTATAGTTGCATCTACAAATGGGAAATCTTGATGAGGCAGGAGGTTGACATTTGCTCAACTCAGCATTATGCATCCATAAGCAGTTTAATATCATCTTTCCTTTGATATCAAAGGTTTTCCAGGCATTGGCATTGTCCAACATCCATGTAAAATATATATGACTTGGTTTTGGCTACTCTGGGTAGTTAGTAGATAAGCAGGTCTCCTGCCATCTCAAGCACCTGTACTTGGTCTTCGGCAATGGTTTATTTTTTGAAGTTATAGAGATTAGATGTGGAAGGTTTTTCTACAGAACTATGCAAAGCAGAACAAATATATCACTGCAGTTTTTTTTCCAAAGAAGAAAATAATAATGCTCGCAGCTTGCATCACTGTACGTTTGACAGCAGAGGATAGGATGTGCAATCAGGAGGAGAGGGTGAGCTCCCAAACACTTTCCCGAACTAAATAAAGTCCAGGGTCAGACTAACGTAAGCAGGTTGTCTTTGGAGTGTCCAAAAGAGGCTGTAACTTGTCACAATGCATTGGCTCTCTCACTACATTTTTCCCCCCTTGGGTTTGGGGAACAACATTAAGTGAGGCACTTCTATGTGGTCCGCTCAATCTGCTCATTCCTAACCTAGCTTCTGCTTATGGTGACTTTGCCCCGGCTTTGCACCCTTAACTTCCCAGTTCCCGTTCTCGCAAACTGCTTACAGCTCCGCTTGAAACAAGTATGGAAATCTACGAAATTTACTGTATGTCGTTTACTTGTACCTCATGTGTTAGTGGAGTCCAAGAAAGGACCATATGTTAGGTGAGGGGCTGGGTTTGGCTCATATATATTTATTATTGTGATGGCAATCTACAAATTGATACATAGGTGGCTAGACATGTATACAGCAAACATCTAAGAGTATATAGCCTGGGGCTTTCATGGTAAATGAACTAGGAAATCACTAGTTTAGAGCTGAAATTCTGCAACATGAGTTCACAGTGATGTCCCTCGATACTTCCTTTGTGTATATTTGCTTATAAGATGGGACTAAAATAATTATTGAAAGTGTCTCTTCCCTTTGTTCGCATATGTCCTGATAAAACTGTCCAAGTTTCCACATCATTTGGAAGCAAAGTACACTAAAATATGCTGTGAAGTGAAAACAGGGTAGGGCCAAATGGTTGTGATATTAATATTTCAGGAAGGAAAATCTTCTCAAATCAGGCGTAGAACACTTTAGTCTTTTCAGGATACATTTTGGAAATCAAAATTATCAACGTGGATCAGATAATAGCCAGTCACTTTCCCCTGAAAACAGTGTAAGAGGTAAAGTTATAGAAATGGGAAGAGACCAAACAAGTATGTGCAGAAATTAACTTTTTTATTATATATCATATAATGTAGTAGTAAAGTTTGTTTGAAGTGCATGAATAAAAAGTTAGTGAAATTACAGGAGGAACAATCTATATAGCAATAATTGGTGCATTCCCTGTGCATCTGAAAGAAAAAAAAAGAGTTTTCACTCATATTTTGGCCTAAAACTTAGTGTTCAGGTTCCCAAGATTCTGACATCAGAACCCGGATAACGCTGATTAGAACCATAGGGGCTTTACAATAAAAGCTAAAATATTGACCATATGATGGCAAAAAGTCTTATTTTGTGGTTAACTTATTCTCTTCTAGCTACTCTCTGATGAAGTTGGTGGCGCTGTGGAGGAGGACCTTCTCCTCCTGGACGAGGACCGGGAGCGCTCAGCATTATAGGTGACATGCTTGTCGTAGTTCTCCATCTGAGCCTCAATGAAGTCCCTCTGCTGCTGTCGGATGGTCTGGCTGATGAGCCCAGGGAGGGCATGAATGCTACCAATCAAAGTCTCTAATTTTGTTTCCAGGGTGACGATCCTTTTCTCAAAGTCTTCACTCCTTTCATTTAAGTCGGAAATCATGTCATACATGATATTCTGGGTCTGGAAAAGAAGATTGAGAAGACAGAAACAAAGAAATAAGAGGCTTCATCACTCTTGCCTCAGAAGAAAACTGTCAACTCTTCCAGCTTCAACACTAGCCTCTTGCTGGTGACAGGTGTGTCCGCTAACTGAACAGTTTAGGTTGCAAAGCAAGTTCCATGTATTCTTAATACAAAGGTGTAAATGAAGTATGACAGGAATTAGCTAGTTATGATTTAGAAAGTATGGTGTAGTTATTGCTTGTTAAATGCCCAATGATTTTAGGTGGCATAAACTTAGATAAAAATGTTTCATTTTATTATTTATGTGGTAATGATTCTTATACAAGTTAGCATATCAAATTCATTTCAACATGTGACATTACAACACGGCCAATTTTTATAATAATGGTAAGATTTAAAGAACAAAAAGATAACAGATGATAGTGAAATGTAAAAACATGATGGGAGAGTAGGAATAAAGTTTAGGATCAATTGATTTGAGCAGATAACTTAGTAATTTAAAGAAATCTATACTCACACATCTTTTGTTGTCTATGTTCCAAACCTCAGACCTCTTTTCATTGAATCCAACAAAAAGTTTCACAGATAAAATGTCAAATAATATAAATCCTCAATAAGATTAGTAGTTGTGGGGGATATTAAATTACAAGTCCATGGCTAGGACTAAAGCTCAGTGGCCAAGCACTTGCCTGACAAGCACAAAGCTCTGGGTGTGTCCTCAGTACACCACACAAATAAACATTTACAGGTTGCCTTATTGGAATGGTGTACTTAGAGCTACATGGCCTGAAGTAGGAATGTGAAACGCTGTCTTGTACAGAAAACTGAATTGATCAGAGGGAGTCACGAGTCTAGGTCTTAGTTATAGTTCCTGAAGTAGTTAAGAAACTTGCAGAACTGCAGGGTTGAGCAGCTCAGAGCTAGAGACAGAAGAGAGTGGCCAAGAGGGAAGGATAGGGATGCTACACTGAGCCTAGGACCACCTTTCCCAAATCCAAGACTCCTTGTGTCACATCCTCCTCCTGCTCCATTTCTTCCTGTATCTTTTCCAGCTTCACTGATGTTTGAAGATGATAAATGAACTGACTGAGAGAGTCATTCAGAATACAGGCATTTTGTTCTGGTTGAGCCACGGACACAGAGAGCACTAACTTCACTTTTACTACATTCTTGGGAAAAGTGAACAACATCCATTCATTCGAAAATACTGAACTCTTACGGCATGTATCATCCTGTGGTCAGAGTAAGTATGGCACTGCATAAATAGCTCAAATATATTTCACCTTGTATATACCTTTTGTGTATCTAAGTAGTGCTGGAGAGTAAGCACATGAGCTCATGTGTGCTAGGTGGGGCAGATTTCAGTTTTCTGCTGTATTCTTAAAAGTATACTCCTTTCCTTCATTCTAACTTAAAGGGGCCAGCTTTATTTTTTAATGTCCAATATTTTAAAGCATTTAGCCTAGGAATGATGCAACACATAAATATTATTTCACTACCTCAAGTGAAATCCACATTAGTGGAGGGTGTCTTTGTCCTGCATGCTTGTATACTGCCCAGCTTATGTGAATGATGTCTGCTTCCCTGAAGTGAGTCATTGAATACTTACCTTTGAATATATATATAAAATGTGTTACTGATAATGCATACATTGAATATAATTTGGAAGTATTATTTAATAAGGCTAGGCCAAATGTCTAATTATACTTCAAGATTTGGCAAAAACATAATACGATTTGTCAAATATAAAACAGGATGTATGTGTTGCCTCTGCCAAAGCAATTGTGCTAAAAGGCAGAACACATACATACTTCTATTCTAGAGTCTCCTTTGGAACTAGCTGAACAGGATGTGATGTCTGTACAGCTGATAAATATTCATATTTTCAGAGTGGCTTTTACTTATGGAGGAACAATTAAAAAAGCAGATAAATCTTTTGGATATGACAAAGAACTAGAAAACTATGAATGTACTTGGTTAATAAAATGGAGAAAACCATAAAAAGTGAGTATACTTTCTTTTGAAACATAAATTTCATTTTAGAATATAATTTCTGAGATTAAAGAATAGGAAGAAGAATGATGAGTTCTACTTATCCCCGAGCCTCATAGTCACATCCAAGATGTATGTAGTTCTGTTCTTCCACAGATGAGGCATCACTTCATATTCCACTAAGAGGTCTTACAGTATTTCCAGTGCACTGTCCCCATGGAGTCTCTTAGCATTGGGGTTGGATAATGTACACGGGAAAAGAGCATATGAACTCAGTACAAGGTTTAGAAAAAGGTTCTAAATTGGACCATCATTTTGGGGTGGTGTGGTAGCTGTGTTAAGGTTGTGGTAGCTTCTGAAGTGCTGCCCATCACAGTGTAGTGGTTAATTTCAATGGCTACAACCTTGAGGGCTGAGTCCCTCTGAATTACCTTGGCCAGATCCACTAGGGTATTTGCTTGATCATTTAGTTTCCTCTGTTCCATCTTCACACTTCTTAATCTAAAAGACAGAATCTGAAATCAGAAAGGCCCTCTTGTCTCTCTGGCCAGGTCACTGCTTTCAAAGGGCATGCACAAAATCCACAAGAGCAAATAACTGCATGGATAATGCCTTGAGTATTTGGGGGGTAAAGTCCACACTGGTTATGTGTCTGGTACAATGAGAAGCATGCTTCCCCAACACCGCAAAAAAGAAAGGAGAGCAAGAGATGAGATGTCCTCAGGACAACCATGTACCAGGTAAGTTGAATTCAGGAAGACTCATAAGGATTTAACCATATGAGAAAAAGCCAAAACATTCCTTAAAGCTCCAGTATCATGACAAATAGACATAGGAAGAAATATGCAAAGCAACTAGAATTTCATCATGTTGGAGCAATGAACACCTTCCTATGCCTACGTGACTAGATACAGGTATTAACCCTGTTTAGTCTGAAATGAATTGGGTTAGGTATTTGAACCTGATGAAAACACAGTGATAAGTGAGATTCTTGTTAACAAAAACCACTTTTATTCAACCAGCAGCAAGATAACTCAAAACATATAATTTTCTTACTCTATTTTGCTTGATTTTACCTTAAACTGACATTGAATTTGAATAGAGGCCAGACCACATCTTTGGGAGAATCTCTTTTAGTTTTAAATGTAGTTTTTTGAAAAAAAAAAAAAAGACAAAATATATCTAGTGGGTAGAATATCTATTTTTAAGATTAATTTTAGTTACTTTAAAATATCGTTGTATGTATTTGGCGGTCACAAGGCCACTCTTAAAAAGTCATTTTTCTAAATAAAAACTCTTACTGTTTTTTTTTTTTTTAAACTTATTTATTGTAGAACCCCGGTAGATATTCCATGATTCTTATGTCCAGGAAATTAAGACTTTACAAGAGAAAGCTAGGTTACTGTTCTATAAGCCAGACTTTCAAAGCCTGACTGAAAAAGAAGAAAAAAAAAAAAAAAAAAAAAAAAAAAAAAAAAAACTAAAAAAAAAAAAAAAAAAAAAAAAAAAAAAAAAAAAAATCAGTAACTCTGAGCTATTTTGTGCCGAAAGAAAAAAGAAAATCCATGCTAATCTCACCTGGGCTTGATAATGAATCATTTACTGAGTATGGTTTCAATGAGTAAAAAGAGTATTTTATACTTTTTAATTTAAATAGTATATAACTACATAAGAGACATAAAAAATTCATAGGGCAAGATTTTACTGCCAGGGAGATTTTCCTAATGTGTTTACAGCACTTAGTGATTTCATCTTGCACCTAGGAGAGCCAGCATGTAGCTGGGTCTGCTCCACAGTGAAGATACAGCTCCTGCCAGCTAGAGTCTAAATGGGGTCCACCTATACTACAGTCTCAAATCATCTAAAATGGTTCAGATTTATCAATTCATTGCTGTGTATTCATTAGAAACTCGGAACCAAGTTAAATGGCTCATGAAAGCTTATAACTCTTCAATTCTACCTTTGAAAACTCAATGGAAATCAAGCAAAAAGCACCTTGGCCGTCTATGGATCAGTGACGAGAAGTCTAGTAGGGAAAGCCGCAATGTTAGCTGGGGACTCAACTCTCACTGACCTGAACTTGACTTTGCTTCTTCAAGCATGGAATGAAGTGTTATATTAGGACTCTCCTGGAGTGCTGGAGGTATCATAAATGATTTTAAGTGACACCCAAATAAGACCTTAATACTAAAACATTCAGAAAGACAGCTTTTCCCTTTAACTACCATGAATGTCTGGATTATTGCAAGAAAAAAGTGCCAGGCAGGTCCTATCTTATCTCTACCTCCTGACACCTGATTATAATATTTTCCCCCCACAGGAGATGGGTAGGGTCTTGGCTCAGAGCTTTCTAGCCTATGGCTATAACTCAATGCCAGGATTAAAATCACTAGATGATGGCACCTTTACTTTCTACTGTGAATGATGCCTTTTACGACAGGAACTTACGTCAAGTTTTCTTTTAAAGTTCAATAATGCCTAAAGTTTGGGGCTCTGGACCTGATACCTCCAGCAATTTGTGAGCAAAGAGAGAGTCTTGAACTTAGAAAACAGGAGGAAGGGGAGAATGGTTGTTAGGTAAAGTGGAAACTTTTTTCAAAAACACTGGAGTCCGGTGTCCTTCAGCTGGATTTCCAAGCTATGACTGACAGTAGAATTTTGCCCATGGTATTTATTACTAATCTAGAAAGCTACATCCATAGCTACATCCATAGCTTTCTAGATTAGTAATAAATCTGATTGATTTATTAGTGATCTGACCCTGATTGGAACTCCATTAGCTCTTGGGACTTAAATGAGCTTGTCTTGCCCTCTGATCTGCCTGTGGTATGGGACTGCCTTCTGAAACTACCTGCGATGTTAGAAGAGCAGACACTGAACCCTTGCTCAAGCTGCAGCTGCCGGAATAAAAGGTAACATGCACATGGATAGTACACTTTTTTTCCCCACAAAAGATTAAGAAACAGATGTTGATTTCTTCCTTGTGAACTTCACTTATCACAGGAAAATATCATGGTTTTGGATCACATTTCCATAGCAGCAATCAGACTACCAAAATTCACAAATAAAGGATCTGCTGGGTGCATGCAGCCAGTAGAAAATTCTGCAAATGTTGAAAGGAACAGCTCACACAACTTACTTCCGAGCTCTATTTTCATTTTGTTGAAATAAAAAGACAAAACAAAAGAAAAGAAACTGTAAAGTATTCCGGAACAAAATAACATAATGTGGTGTTCAGTTGTACACAGGGGGCTCGATTCATCAGCTGGAAGACCCTGCAGGATCTTGACATTGATTGGCACTATTCAGTTCATCACCATCCTTTGTTGCTACTACACTCTGCCTACCTGAAAGCACTTGGCTTCCTCTTACACCAGAATTCAGAATGAAGAAGGTGCATAAAAGTCATGTTGGCCTCTTCATACTTGGTGTTCAGGGGAATAATAGGAAACACTTTGGCTTAGAATGACAGATATAATGGTTCTTTTGAAGGGAGAGCATATCTTTTCCATATCGGGGCTATTCAGAATCCCCTCTAATATAAATTATGCACATTAGCTTTCTTGGCTCTAGACAAGCTCGTGTTGATTGATGGCTCCATGGTTGAGACAGAAGAATGAAAAAGTTAAAGCTGCTATCAGAAAAAGGGTTGAAAGTTAGAGAGAGAGAATGCTGCATGGCATTGAGCGACAATTCATAAAGACAAACGCATTACCGAAAAGAGGGCACTGACCTAGAGAGTTTAGACTCATCAGAGGCTAGAGAGGTCGCTTGTTGGGAAAGAGGCCATAAAGTATGGAAAAGAGTAAGAGCTGAGCTAGAGGGGGCTGGTAGAAGAGGACAGAGCTGCTAAAATTGCTCTCAGGGAGAATCAGAGAGTAGCAAAAGCCAGACAAGTTCCAGTCAATGACTTGTGAGTTTTTGTCCAACTAGGTCTACTTCCTGCAGTGCGGGCGGATGATGCTGTGCACCCCTGAGCAGTGGACAGTGAAGACCTGGCCCTGAGGAATCGAGCCCTGTGTGCTGTCTGTCATGACATCACTCTACAACTCCCCACAGAAGTTCACATGACAAGTGATTATGCACCAGTAGAATAATCTAGCCAAACCCAGCCCTTGTAACCAAGCTTATTCTGCTGCAATTGTTCATAAATGTTAAGTATTCTCCACAGCAGGGAACTCAGCAAACCCCAAACTAACTTATAAAACAATTCTGAACATAATTGAATTGCGTCAAACTCATCTGCTTTAGATGCACACATTGCATTAAAAAGGGCAAGAAAAGGGTGATGATGGGAAAAGTCTGATGGAAGCAGAAGAAGGATAAGGGGGGCTTCTGGCACACGATCCAGAGCAGCCAGTGAAGAACTCCACAGAAGTTCCTCCCATGTGCCCTTCCAATCAGGCTGACATGCCCCGTAGGGCAAATTTGCCACTTACTTTTGGCCAGTTCATTAAATCAGCTTCCTTGTATAGAGAATTTTTTTAAAATAATATTTTGTTACAAAAGAAACTTGCGGCAATGCTAAAAGATTTTGCAATGAATAAATACCAGAATACTATCCCATATTAGTATGGATGTACTTATAACTCAAAGTACTTGACAAAACAGACTAAATAATAATCACCATACCCACAAAGTTACAGGACTGCATTACAGAAATCTATTGGTGCATGCTTTGGACTTTTTTATTCAAGAGGCAAATCAAATATGACTGTATTTTCACTGATAGGCACACAAAATGAAGCATGATCACAACACATGTACATACTTACTCCTACTTCATCTTGCATACCCTTTACCTTTGGATGTGTCTTCTCATACCCAGAAGGGGAAGCTTTCTATCATACTCAAACAAAATAGACTACCAAAAACATTAACAGTACAAAAATGATCTGTCCATAGTTTGCCATGATTGTTCATATTAATGTTGGGGTTACTGTGTTGAACAGCTTAATAAGACAGACTTTTTCTAATGGGCTCTTTCCAAGTGAATCCTCTGAGAAAATGGCTGTCTAGATGGGCTTAGGGAACACAGGAAGAGTCCAGATATTTCTTGGGGCCTCACTCTCTAGTGCGGAGAATAAAAGGAATGCCACCTCCTGGGCTGGTGTTCCTGGGTTGACCCTGGGTCCCAAAAGTAACTGAACTTCAAGAAGCAGGCTTCTGCTTTGTGAACCAGCTCTAACATAATTCTCCTCTTTGTTTTCCCCTGTCATTTCCTTATAGGCTGGAGGGCAGTTGTGTATCTAGTCAAGTCACAGAGGTAGAGGAGAAATACCATCCCCTTCTAAAGAAAGTACATGGGGGGCAATAAGGAGCACGAGTGAATAGCTGTGAGCAATAATGATAAACAATCCTACCACATGTGCAAAGATATCTCTAATTTAATTCCAGAGTTACTTGGGTTTTATTTGCACTAACAGAGGTCTCAATCCCATAGAAGTATGCACATGAGCATCATTATAGGCACACTATAGACTTACCAGGATACCTTAATATCCCAACCAAGCAGGGCAGAGGCTGGACCAGTGAAAAGTCAGAAAATGAAAGTCTATGGATTCCTCGCAGAAGGTTAGCGGTACCATGTTGCTTATGAATTAATTAAATATGTAAATAAAAATCCCAGACTCACAGCTTTCTTGTCTGTTGTACTGGTTGGGTCTGAGAAGGCCAATCATGTGGCACAGGCAAAGACCTAATATTTACCCACATTTCCATTGTTATCCTGGTATGTCTCACAAGGAAAACCACTTTCCTGAGCCACAAATGTGGCCACGAAGAAAGGGCTTTAAGAGTAAGTCTGTCTGGTGTCACAGTGGATACCCACATGTGAAGAAAATGTCAGCCTGGAAAGGTCTGTTTCTCAGTCATCACTGAATCTTATGAGGTACAGACAGTTAACTTAAAAGATAAGTAATTATATAACAAAGACATGCATCAACAGCTTATGTCAGTTAAATAAAAGTAACTTAATAAGAGAAAATTGAACTATACCAACTCTATAATGATCACACAGCATACAGATAACCCCAAACTTTTTGATTAAGAAGTCATTGAATATTGCAGAATTAAGACAATTAAATATACTATGTTATATAAAGATATTTGCTAGCATGTAAAAATCCAGATGGATCATATAATGTCCCTCCCCACTTCTCCCAAGATTCTACCGTGGATTCAAGCTCAACATTTCAGGTCAAACTATAAAAATAAAAGCATTAATTAAATATAATTCTAACAGAAATTATGGCCCCCAAAGACAAAGATATTTTGATTATAGCACACATGCTTTCCAGCCATAAAAGGAACTAAGCCTTTCTCTGGGGTCCATTATTAGAATTTGAGATGTCTCCTGGAAGCAAACATGGCAGTGCCTTTTTCTTTTCCTCCCTCACAAAGGGAGGACCAGCGAGCACAAGAATCAAAAGCCAAGGCTAAGAAGAAAGAAGACAGAAACGAAAACAGGTACTTACTGATGAATAGCTTGCAAGAATTTCCGCTGATGCTTTCTTACTTTTGCGTGGTCGATCTTTTTCACTAGCTTTGTGTTTTTGTAGATTAACCACGTTTCCCTGAGTACATTGGCGGCTGCGTTTTTCACCTGTTTAGAAAACACAAGAAAAGCCGTCACTACACTCTAAAGCAAATTCCCCCACACTCATTCACAGTTGTGTTTTTCATCCCAAGAACCACAGCGAACTGGAGCTTTAGAAACTGCTACTCAAAAGGCTATTTTCTTAGTATATCTTCCTTCGTGCAAGAATTTAGGTCTGCCTGGGAACACAAGTGAAATATTAGGGAGCTACTACTGACCTCTTTCTGTATTACACTCTGCTTGCTCTAACAGGAAACTGCGTTTTTATTCAACACCTCATTTAAAGAAAATTCAGAGATGCTGAATTTTCCACTTATATGGCAACTCCTCTCCCCATCTTCTCTATTTCCCCAGAGAAGGGCAAAATGGCAAATACCAAGGTTAATTTTGTCTCTTGCAAGCTCACCCAGTCTCTCTGGCTGTGCCGTGCAGCCAGGGCATATTTCCGTGTGTGAGTTCACCCCATGCACACCAGCTCCCAGAATGACTGGTGTATTTGCCTGTTAACACACTTTCACTTGTAGGGATGTTATCAGGATTTCTTGGGAAAATTAAACAGGTTGCATTTCAAACAGATGGACAGATATAAAAGATGCAGTAACTGTACCTGATGAAGGCCGGTCATCTTATCTAATCACTTGCTTTCTGATTAAAATCTCCAGAGGCCTTAGGAACTGATATCTAATTAAAATTCCCAGAGGCCCTGGGAACTGATAGAGACCAAGGCAGGGTATATCTCCTCTGCCTGGCTCTATGATGGGACCTGGAAAGACAGAGCTTCTCCAGTTAATTGACTAATTACTTATCCTAAGAAGTATTCCCATTTCATCCCCTGGAGTGAAAAAAGCCACAGCTGGTTGGGCACGGGGTAGAGGAAGACAGCTCGGAATAGGCGGTGATGGAGAAAGAGTAGCATTTAAGCTGTAACTGAGAAATGGGTCTTGAGCCCTTGAGTCTAGAGTAACCAAGTCAGGTCCAGGGCCTGGTGAGCCTGCTGGCATTTTAGTTTCTCTAACATGAGCGTGCTAGAGATGACGATGACTCAAGTCCTGTCGTCTCATGTTTACAGTAAGTAGACTATAACTCTGGTGGTAAGTTTACAGTTACAGCTTTCTACTTTTGCAAAGAAATGCCACCTTTCAGGATTGAACCCTCTTCTTCCTGAGGGAAACTGTACTGTTAAAACCAATTTTAAGAAAATGACTGGTTTCTTGCAGAAGAAGTGGTTTTGTGGGTGACCCTGCTGTTACGTACTTCCTCTGAACAGCTGTTACACTTTCCTAGGATGCTTCCTCAAACCAGTAGTTTTGAAAACAACAGGAAGAGATGGAGAGTATGGCAATGAGTCCAAGCGATACCCACCCACCTCGCCTCTCTCCAGGGAAGCTAAAAACACTGGAAGCCAAATCTCGGGTCTTTTCAAAGGCAAAGAAACTGGTGCAGTGTGAGAGATGGAGGTTTGAGCAGTCTGCTTGCTCAGAGCATGGTGTGGGAAGAGACTGGCTAGCAGTCCTCCAGCGGTCTGCGCTGGGGATCATTCTTATGAGAACAGGGGCTCCCAACCCTCTAAGTGGCTGTGGAAATCTGGACAAGTGATGAGCAGCCCTGGTATATGACCTTCTGGCTTTACCTGTACAGGTGACAACAGAGGAAGTGATGATCAGACTAATTATGAAAGGTTAATTCGGGGGACATGTCTCCAGCTGGGCCATGATCCTAGCATTAAACAGAGCAACTGATTTGTATAGAGTTCCGCCTACAAAGTAAAAACCTCAAATTTCTTTTAAATTCTACAGAATTTTGAAAAGGGTGGCTTCTTGTTTCGTGGATGCATTTTAAATCATTACTTCCTTTTGGGATTGCAGTGGAGCAGGGAATCTCGAAATTCAGGGTAGAGCGGGTCGGTGATGCCCTGGAAGCCTTAGGCTCAGGATCTGTGTCCCCTAAGCAGTCATTGCAGCTGACAGGCTTAAATGAAATGAAACCCAGACATTTCCTTTAAAAAAAAAATTCGAAACATGCGAATTGATTTTAAAATGCCTTCTCTCTCATTCCCTAGTGAAGTCTTTAAAACATATTACCGCTTTAACTGTTACTTTTCAGCATGAAAGCTACAAAACAATACGTGCCAGAATTAAACCACAGAACAAAAATCCAAATTCTGCCAGTGACTGAGTGAGATGTTTCCACGTGTGGGTCTTCTTGTCCTTGTTAGGGCTGAGAGAAACAGGACAGTAAGCAGACAGATTAGAAGGCACCTGGGGGAACTGGACCAGACTGATGCACAAACATCCTAGAACCGAGAGAACAGCCAGCGTGCATATTCCATGTCATCTAGGTAAGCAGCAAGCTGACTTGGGTATAGCTCGTGTTAAACATGTCCATGGTGTTAAGTGGGCATCATGGGATACACAATTTGTACATAGACATGTGTACTCATGAAAACACACACACACACACACACACACACACACACACACACACACACACACACACACAGGAAAGATCCTTGTAATTAAGAAGACTATCGAGATCTAGAGAACAACTCTAAACTATTTCCAAGAGGAAATCCAGCAGTTCTAGAGCTAACTAAGAGGCCCGGGAACATAGTTTGATGGAACAATGTTTGCCTAGCATCTAACAGGTTCCATGCTAGATCCCTAGGACTGAAACCGTAGAAAATAGCAAAATAAGGGAAGGGAAGGGAGGAGAATGATCTCCAGGACACATGTCTCCTCCCTACTGACTGCCCTGTACCTCGTGCTAGCATATGCTGAACTTAAGGAAAATAGAAACGTTTTCTCTGTCCGACTCATTTCCGTGTTTAATTGAAATCCTTCACCGGAAATTCTTTTGAAAGGCACACTAATAATCAAGTATTTGGTAATTGCTCAAACCAAGGCTATAGGAGAGATGGCAGTGGCGATAACACCAGTCCAGATGCCTTTGTATGACTCCCCAAGGTGTCAAGGCTACCTGGTATCACATTGCTGCTCAAAGATAATTAGAAATAAAACTATAACTAATAAGATAAAATATTAAGTATGGTACTGCATTTATTATTTTTCTACAGTACTGGGCATCAAAAATAACTGGTGTCGGGGCTTTGAAAATCAGTAAAATTCTTCTAGCAGATGAATGCGTAAATGAAACCTTGTATAAACCAATCTGATACAAAGAAGCTTTTAAACAGTATGTCATTACTAACAAGGGATTATTACTTATACTTTTCCTTGATTTCAGTAACTTGGAGTCTTCATTTTCAACTTTGATTTCATTTTTCTTCTTGTCTTTGTCTATGTGATGTACATATGACTGTGGTGGGCAGATGGCGACACTGGGAGTCTTCCTCAGTCTCTTCTTAATCTTGTGATATGAGACAGGGTCTCTCACTGAACCTGGAACTTGGGAGTAGCCTGCAGGCGCCTATGATTCTCCTGCCTCTGCCTCCTCAGCCCAAGAATTACAGGCACACAATGTGTGCCCAGATTTTTGCACAGGCTTGGGGGAAACAATCTAAGGTCCTCATGCTTACAATAATAAGTAAGCTTATTATTTACCAACTGAGGGGGTCTCCCTAGAAGATTTTGTAAAAAGTTCATAAAGCAGTGGGTTTCCTTATATCATCTTCATGCACACATGACCACACTTTACTTTCATTCACTCCCCTCTTGAAGAAAGCTCATGTGAAATGCAACCAGTGAGTCTTCTGCTGAGGTGAGGGTGGGTTGCCTGGATTCAGTCCTCACTCCCAGTTTTCACAACAGAAATCCATGATTTAGGGGGATGGTATGACTCCTTTCATGTTTTAATCCAATGAGCTGGGTAGCCAATGGAAAAGCTGTGTTTTGTAACTCATCTGTAGACTCTGTTAATGGAGATGTAGAAGATGAGGTGAGGCAACTGTGTGAATGTGTTATGATAGATCTTACTACAGGTTTGGAAACACCCTCAGTTCATGTTAACGTGTATTATTATTCTCCGTTGTACATTCATATAGCAAGTGTTAAAAATTAAAAATTCTGAGCAGGCAGCACACTACAGCTGACCCTGTTGGAGTGTGTGTGTGTGTGTGGGGGGGGTGCAGGTGAGCTGGGCCTGTGTACGTGAGAGCAGGAGAGCTGCCCCTGGCCCTTCCCTCATATGCCATGGGATGGCAAGGGTAAGGGAAATATGCCCTGCCCCCCCCCCTTGTCACCTGCAGCAGGTGGGAGAGCAGACCTTAGGGCCATGAGAATGGTAGAGCTGGTCCTACCCCTCACCAAATGCAGCAATCAAGAGAGTTGGCCCTGAACCTCACCTGGATAAAACAGTAGAGCTGGCCCTGGTGGTGTGAGCCCTGGTGAGCTGGACCTGCTCTCACAAGAGCAGGAGAACTGGCCCACTCACTGCTGTCTGCTACATTGGGTGAGCTAGCTGGGGCAGTGCTGGAGAGCTGGCCTGGGTGGTGAAAACGAGGGAAAGCTGGCAGGCTGACCAACCTAGCTACCACACAGGCCCAGAATGAGGACTATAAGGTAGCTCATCTCAACACCGACCTCATCTGTGAACTGCTGTAGCATGTGAAGGGGTTGGGCCTGCAGATCCCAAGCTACAGGCTCTCTATTGACACAAGGCAACAATAGGATATTCAAGAGGAGCTCCAGTGAGGGCCCAGTATGGAGGGTGTAGCAGAAGCCAGTGACCTCGAACCAGGCCAAAGACTCATTGCAATAAACAGTTACATGTAAAGATGTATGGACTAAACAGTAAACTGTGTGACTCACTGGGCCACACTACAGTTTCCATGTCAAGATGTTTTAGGTTTGTTTTTTGTTTGTTTGTTTTTACTTTTAAATTTTGCTTTGAGGGGGAGGCTGCAAGGGTGAAGGGATGGGGAGATAAATGCGATTGGGATGCATGATGTGGAATCCAGGAAGAATCAATAAAAAGTTAAAAAAAAATTCTGAGCCAGGTGTGGTAGCTCATGCCTTTAAATCCTAGAACCTAGGAGGCAGAGGCAGGTGGATCTCTGTGAGTTTGAGGCCAGCCTCACCTCCAGAATGAATTCCAGGACAGCTAGGGCTGTGTCAAAAAAACACAAACCAAAAAAAAAAAAAAAAAAGAGAGAGAGAAGGAAAAAATAAAATTCTGGTAGAATTCTCATAATTGCTTGTTTTACAAGTTTCTTTACAATACCAAGGCATTCTGGGGAACAAACTCTTTAGATTTCCTCTTGGTTTAGTCCTGAATCAGTAGTAATAGTAATCTAAGATGCAGAATGGCAAATAGTTTGACCCTGTAAGATGATGGACTATGGACTACAAATCTATTAAATAGCTGGGCCTGTCTTGTGTGTGTATGGTACATGCACATGTGGACACACATATAGAAGCCAGAGCAGGACATCTGTTATTTTCCTGTCTCACTCTGCACCTTTTAACCTGAAGACCCTACCGAAGCTCACATGGCTGGCTAGAAGGCTCACTCTGGGGGTCCACCTTATCTGCTACCAATGTTGGGATTTCATGCATTCACAGACAAACTAGACTTTTTATTTGGTCACTGGGGATCCCAACTCAGGTCTTCATGCTTCCACAGCAAGGGCTCTCGGCCACTGAGCCATTACCCCAGTCTGCTCCTGACTTTCTGTCACAGAACATCTTTAATCTGGGCACGTATACCTCTAGGATAATTTCTAATTCTAAAAGAGCATGTAAATTTTCCTAGAATGAACGCTCTTGAAACTGGGACACAATGAATAGTGTGTTTTATTTGGTTAATATAGTCATACAGAGAAATGATTTTTTAGTAAAATCATTCCCCTTGATATTTGCACACGGTGAATACTTCCTCATCACTGTTGTTTGTCTCAATAAGACATATACTGGAAATCTTAAAAAATCTACATGTATTCCTGAGAGAATATTCTTTCAACACTCAAATTGATTTTTCTTTAAAGTCATGTTCAGATTTCAGAATGTTTATGACCATATCCCCTGCTAACCACTGGGGGAAAAATTCTCTCTTCTGGAGTGTGTGAGGGAATACTTGTATTTCTCTCTCAACACTTATAGTGCTCTTGAGTTTGGACTAAGATGAGTTTGTCCTTATTCACTCTTAGTTTCCCTCAGACATCGTTGAGGAGTTTGAAATTCTTACTTAAATTTTTAGATGGATTCCACTTAGAAATTCCATAAACAACCAACTTAAGAATGTTCCAAGAAAATGATAGTCATTAAGCTGATGACTTTGCATAACATCTTGAATAGATGAATATTGGAGGGCTGTGTTCACATACTGTTGTGCCAAGTATCTGATTGAGGTAAGCATCCATTGCAAAGTAGTTCCACTTCTAAGAAACAGTAGTAAGATAACATTATTAAAGCCAATGGGTATCTTGTTGAATGTGACTTTTGAAACTTGGACAGCCTTTAAGTAAGGAAGTGTCTGAGAAGCCAACAAGACTCCCTCTGCAACATCATCTCCACTGTAGTGCTTATTTAACTCCTGAGCAAAGCATAATACTTAGGATAAAATAGCATGGGTTACAGACGACTTTATGGAAATCCTCCTTTAATATGGTAAAGCTTGTGACCCTAATACAAGCGCTGCCAAAACAGAACCGTATTGGCCAACCCTAGGAGATACACAGAGGAGCATGCTACGACTCCTGGATTGCATCCTACTAACAATACATGGAAATGTATTTCCATTTCTAGATCTCTGAAAAGAAATATAGCCCGAGGTACCCATCTAGCTCCTCAATCTTTTCTCCAATCTTCACTCAAGTTTTGAGAATGGAAATGAGAATTGAAAAAAAAAAAAAAAAGAGGAAACTTGGGAGAAATAAAAGCTGTTGGGGCAGAGGGGTGAGGAGATGGCTCAGTGGATAAAGGCCCTTCCTGTGCAAGCCTGGCGAACTGAGTTTGAACTCAGGAGCCTATATAAAGTTGAGAGAAGAGAACTGACTCCACAGTGTTGTTCTCTGACTTCCACATACCTCCACAGACACACCATAGCACAGGCAGTACCCTCTATAATAATACATAAAAATATAACTCAAAGGGTATTTGGAAGTAGCAAAGTCAGGCTAAAAATAGCATATGCAATTGAGGGGCTTTGATCCCCTAGTAGACTCCTGAAGTACTGTTAGCTCTAGGGTCTGAAGTATGAGCAAGGCTACAGAAATTCATATTCCCCCTTCATAATTAAGTCTGTATAAATATGAATTTGTAATAAAGTGACTGCTGTATTGGAGATACTAATCAAGGTTGCCTATTATTTATCTTTAGACACAGGGTCCTACTAAGCTGGCCTGGCTGCCCCAGGTTGATCTTTTCCCTTTGAGACAATTTGAGACTGCAAGCATGCTTAGCTAAAAAGATCGCTTTTGTGCTTAGAACTAAATCAAGACTAAGGTAAATACTGAAAGTTGGAACCTTGTCTGAAAAATTCTATTGATTCTTTTGTGGGCAGATTCACCAAATGACAATGCATTTCATTATCTCAACAACAGCCTGATGGAATTCTACTTTGGGAAGGGAAGACTGCTACACGATGGTACAAGATCCTTTTTAGGTATTTTTGACTTTGGTATTTTGATGTTTCAAGTGACTATTGAAAAAGCTAAAAGCATAGTCTAATAAAAATATTTTTCTTCAGCCGGGCGGTGGTGGCGCACGCCTTTAATCCCAGCACTCGGGAGGCAGAGCCAGGCGGATCTCTGTGAGTTCGAGGCCAGCCTGGGCTACCAAGTGAGCTCCAGGAAAGGCGCAAAGCTACGCAGAGAAACCCTGTCTCGAAAAACAAAAAAAAAAATTTTTTTTTCTTCTTTTCTAGCTTTCAACCTTGATGCTATGAGGGTGAGCAGGCTGTCGAAGCTCTCTGTGTCACGGTTTCCAAACTGTATCAACTAGCCATAACAAGGCTTCCCTCATGAGCTTGCTGAGGATGAAGGAAGTTCACACCTGGACATAGCCAAGGTGGGTGCTCTTTCAACACTGATTATTGCCTTGTTTACTTCTAATAATTGGTAGGTGATCTTCCATCTGGCTGCTATGTCATTTTTAATACATATGTGAGTCATAGAAAGGACATTTTATGTTTGTAACACCCATGTTTAGAACACAGACACACAGAAGCTCAGCACTATTTCCTCCAACCCTCTTACCATAAAATTCCTATCTCCCACAGACAGTGTGTTCTTTTCTACCCAACCTAATACTGGTTACTGTGCTGTAATGCTGAATATACTTACTTGTCTAGATTTTTGGGTCTACTTTTATGTAAATACAAAGATTATACAACGATTCCTAATTGAGCTGGTTAGGTAGTCCAGCTGCAAAACGGAAGGCATGGAACCAGTTCCAGGAGTGTTGCTATCTTCAATCTATGGCATCTCTGCTTCTGAAGTTTTAGTGAAAAAACACATTTCCTGTCGGGTGAATAAGACAGTGATATCCTCTTGCAGGATGGGAGGGTGTCTACTTACTCTTTTGGTCAGCTGAGTATCCATCATGAAATTGTGCACATGCTTTTCTGCTTTGGTAAGTTCTAGCTTTCTTGCCACTACGGCTACCACCAGGGCTGTGCAACCTGCACCCTAAAAGCAAAAAAAGAGGAGTACCCTAAGAATTAATTCATACCTTTAAATCCCAGTCACATTAGAGATTGTTTTATATCAAATGCATTTATTTTCCCAAGATAAAACAAATGATACTTTCAGTATCTTCCATAAGCAACACATCACAGAGAAGTATGTGGTTAATGATCGTAAGTAATGTTCCTTTAAGGTGTAAAATCCCAGTTTACCTATTTTTAACACTAAAGCATAATAATGAATAAAACAAGACTTTACCACAAGGAATAAATAGCTAAAAACCAACTTCCTGAATTTTCAGACATAAATTTTCTTTAAAAACAGGAAATCTGTTATACACCTATAATTATATAAGCATATTAAACAAATTAACATAAGTCCATGGACTAGAAATGAAGATTGAAAAAAAAAAAACCTAACAGTTCAGAATCTTTTCCTGAGATGAGACCAGCAGGCTTTCAGGCAAGTGGGTGGCTACACAAGGAGACTGAGTGAGAGCAGCAGACTGTCATGGATGGAGACTGTGGCATCAGAGTGACAAGGTCACAAAAGACAGCAGTGATGTGAGCCTGGACCACACAGGGCATGATGTGCAGAAATCCCGGAGATGCCTTCATTGGGAGAAGCGATGATGTTGCCTTTCAAATTGTAGACCATTTGGCTTATCTTAGACAAAACAGTGTAGGTGACACTGTGTGGTACCTCAAGAATTCTAGGCCTATCTTTCTGTGGTCAAGGTGCCTTCAACCTGAGTTGTGAACAGTGGGAGTGACATCTTCGCTGAAACAGATCAGGGCCACATGCAAGGTTCCATGCTGCAGCTGTCTCATGGGCCTGAGACCCAGCCAACCTCCTTGTAAGGTAAGGCGTCATGGCAGTGGTCGTGAAGGGAGGCCATAACTCCTGACATGACCTCAGTCTGGAGAGTCAACAGAGCAATACAATGCCTACGCCAATCTCAATACACAGGTAATAAGGAGAAAAGGGCAAGGCACATTAAGGAATCCATGCAAGGGGCACATACACAGTAGGGTGACACAACACTGGTGGATCTTCCTGTACACTTGAACCTCAACTAGCTTCTAGTAACATTTCCTTGTTGCCGCCAAATGGTAGAGGGCTCCTAGGACAGACAGTTGAAGCCAGTCTCAAATTTGCACAAGGTAGTATACTTTTCCTCATTACCAACAGGCTTAAAAATCCCACATTAAAATGACAACTGGGTGAGTTCAAAATGTGCCAGTCATCATCTTAAATAGACAATACTGAAGAATAATGGTTATGTAACTTACTGCCTGCCATTGAGTTAAATACACACACACACACACACACACACACACACACACACACACCTCACAGAGTTTTAAGAAAGCTTATAGTTTTATGTTGGGCCACATTCACAGCTAAAATTTATTTGAAAAAAAAAACATTTAAAGATAGAACACAATGTTTAAAAGGCAAGTTACATAATGACTTCACTTTTATTTCTAAATGGACCACATTAGGAAAGAAAAATAAATAAATAAAAATAAACTGGAAAGAAGTCCATGTGTGAGAAGAGGTTATCTCAGAGTATTTGGAGTTTCAGTGACTGGTTTTGCTTTTTTTTTTTTTTTTTTTTTTGTACCATCATTCATAGGTCCCATCTGTGCAGCATCTAAACTTTCCATCAAGTCAGATCTCACACCATTCTCCAGAGTCTAGCACGGTGGGTCTCCCTGGCCCTTCTCATCCAGGCCTTCTCGCCAATCTACCAGATCAAGCCATGGTCTCAGATTCAGTGCCCTGGCCTCATCTTGCCTCCCATGCCTTTACCAGAAGCATTCTCTAGACTTCTTCCAGGACCCTCTCTACCTTTACCCCAAACCACAGACCTTACCCATGCCACATCCAACCTTTCCACCCAGTCAGATTCATCTTTACACCTATACCTAGGCTTGGATGAGAATGTACATCGTGTACACTAGCCCAGGCCCCTCTGTCTATCTGATGGGATTCAACACTTGGCATTTCCAACCTCTAGGTCCCAATTTACTCACAAGTACTTTCTGTGTCCCAACAACATATTAATATCATCATTAAAACTAAAATATAACTCCACATGCCTAGATCTCTGTGTAAAACTACAAAATATGAAAGATCAAGCCAGTATCTTCTCTTTTAAACCTACTAGGTTGTCATGACAATTGCCTAGATGAACCCCAGGACACAGAATTTAAAAGAACAATCATAAACTTTCTCAAATAACCCAAGAAGTTTAAAGATAGTACAAAGAAACAAATCAATGAAATTAAGGAGAATAAACTAAATGCCTGAATGATGCCCAAGAAAACACAAACATAAGGGTGATGAGAATGATGAGGACAATCCAGGACCTGAGGACAGAATCCAATAAGGAGATAGAAACATTGAAGAGGACTCAACATGAAATGAAGATGGAACTGAAAACTCAATAACTAAATTAGAAAACTCAAAGGAAGTCTTATAAGTAGAGTGAACTAAGCAGAAGATAGACTATAAGGACTTGAAGATCAAATAGAGGATGTAGTCCAAATAAGCAAAGAATATAAAAAACTTAATAAAACACAGGAAAGGAACATACAGGATATGTAAGATACCATGACCAAAAAAAAAATCTTAGAATTATAGGCAGAGATGACAGATAAGAACCCCAAGTCAAAGACATAGACCAGCTCTTCAACAATATCTACACACCTAACCAAATTAAGGAAACACACGTTAATATAGATACAAGAAGCACACAGAACACCAAATAGAAAAGACCAGAAAAGATAATCCCCATGTGTAGATGTAACCAATCGTCTTATTAAAATAAGAAA